AAAATTTTGGTACAAGAAGATAAGTGAACAAACAACCCTTGATATAGACATGCATTTCAATAATTTCATTCCAAACCTCTAATTTAGAAGGTCCATAAATAGGATTAGATAATTCCAAACGTAAGTGTTTCATGGGCTTATGAAGGCTCATGCAACCTCAAAATTGTTTAGAATTAAATGAGCATATTTAATTGTCTTCCATACTTCTAGAAGTTGTGGGTTATTTTAAGCAAATGACAATCACTATTTTAAGCAAACTAAACTTGATGAAGAAGCTTGTCATGGATTTCGTTGATTATGCATGTCATGGGGTTTGTAATGTAAGTCTTTGGAGACTTATGGTAAACCTAACGACAACTTGATATCACATATATTTATGTTAAATCAAACAATTCCATTAAAAACTTTCACCAAGTTTGGAAGGCAAAGAATTTTAGCATATGTAAGGTGCCTAAACATATGTCAATTTTTTTATGATGGTTAAAATTGGGTAACTCCATATGCTACTCTCATATTTGAATCCTATCTATGCATATAGGAAATGCGCATCTAAGGTTTGGAAAAGACCCCAATCAATTTTCGTATTATTGGGGGATTGAAAGCAAGAGTGAAAGCCTCAAATGTTGAGGGATTTCAAGGGTTAGAGGTAAGGATGACCCATCGTTATTTCCTTAGGCCTTGATAAGTGTGAGTTCCTATATTTGTATGTTAATTTTGTCATAACATGTCAATCTAAGGAGTATAACATAGCATGCAGCATTGTGAAAGTCTACACCTCAACATTTGATCTACAATCAAGTGAAATCTCCTAAATTTAAGGATTAATTTGTAGGTGAAGGCATTAGGCACAACATGAATGTTTTCACATGCAAGATAGAGGCATTGAACACAAGTCCAATGACTCGGCATCTTGTTGCTTTCCTTTTAGCTCTCACTTGAGAGCAAATCAAGGGAAAATCACTTGATTTCCATGATTAAAGCAAGTGGATAGAAAATGAAGGATTTTAGGAAAGCAAAATTTGAAGTTTCTAAGGACTTAGGGCTTGGGGACGTCAACCACACATCAATGGCTAGGGGGCCTTAGAGCTTTTCCTAAGTTTTAGTATTTTAACTCACCCGGGCTGTCCAAGCGCTCCAATCCAAGCTCCAAATCGCTGTCCAAGTTGCTCCGGGGGAAGAAAACTGCTGTCCAAGCTACTCCGGACATCGTCGCCACTGTCCAAGGCGCTCCCAAGCCTCCAAACGGCTGTTTGGGAGGTTTCGAAAGCTTCCCTTGCAGTTTGGAAGCTTCCAACAGCTTCCTCGACCACTACGAACTCGTTGGAGTTGAAGAAGGAAGGGGGTAGAAACCTTCCTCCAGAAGAAATGCCGCACAGACTCCAACCTGGATGAAATCAAGATCTTCGGATCAGATCAGGGCTGCGGATGGGAGCTCGCGGCATCAGGAGGTCCAGCGTGTGAGGGAGGTGGAGCTCCTGGAAGGCCCAGCCGAAGGTCTAGGCGGAGTCGGATGGAGGTCTTGCACGCGAATAGGGGGTCGCGAGCAGAGGTCTTCGGCGTGATAGGAGTTCCACACGCAAGGGATTCAGCTCTCCTCCTTCTCCTGCTCTCTTGCGCTCTGGTTCGGTACTGACGGAACTGGGGGAGCCAAATGAGGCTCCTCTCTCCCTCTCATTCTCTTAGAGGCGCACACACAACAGGGTTGACCGCCCAAATGCGCCTATCTCGCTTACTCTATGCGCGAAATGAGATACATTCCACTCAAGTGGATTCTTTGATGGATTTGACATGAAATTGGGTGGGATTTGAGGTAAAATCTCTGCCCTTGATTGGAAAATCTGATTTGAAAAGCTAATTTAGCCCAAATTAGTCAATTGGGGCTGAAATTGAGCCCAAATTGGATTCGACTCAAACTAATTTGGGTCGTTTTGGTTCTGATTGTGTCAGATCAAGTTAATTTTGTGAAATTGAACTCGAATCGGCGTCAACTTGTGTTGAATTCGCCTCGATTGGATTTGATTCGATTTTAGGAGCACTCTCAAATAAAAGATTTTTGATTGAATGAGGAAGAGTGCTTTTGAGGTTAACATGTAAGATTGTGCCTCGATTGGATTTGATAGAAAAGTCCCCCTCTTATTTTCTCTTCCCCCTCTTATTTTCTCTTCCTTTTCCTACTGAATTTAGCAAACTGATTTGAGCACACCGAATTTCAACAAATAGCAGCATTCAGCATTCATAAATTCCTTTATTTTAGCAATTCCTTATTGAATTTCTGAAATTAATTTCAGTACACACCAATTTCGGCAAAAAGTACATCCCTTAAAATAAATTTCAACAACTACAACAGTAGCTTGCATCACCAGCAGCAACACTAATTTCAACAAACACTACAACCTTAACAAATTTCAGCAACCACAGCAGCAATTAACATCACCAGCAGCCCTCATGGATCTGCCCGCCACCCCAAAGCTTCAGCTCATGGACTAATTCAGCTGGTTGGGGAGAAATGAAAGAATACAAAGGCTTAACACTTAAACATTATAATTTAATTAATATCCACTTCCACATTCCACTAACCTACCCAGCTTACCTCAACCGCACGATCTACCATCCACCCTTGGATGCTTAGCTTAGTGGTTTAGCAATAGCTACATGCATTAAATGACTTATTTAGCTATAGTATAAAATTTAATTAACATTTTTAATTATTGTTTATTAAATACTTAAGCTGTGATACTATTACATGCATAGAGATATTTGAACAACAACAACAACAACAACATTAAGCCTTTGTCCCACTACGTGGGGTCGGCTACATGAATCCTTTTTCATCATTGTGTCATGTTAAAAGTCAAATTCTCATTTAAATCTAATAAAGAAAGATCATTTCTAATATTTTCTATTAAAGTCTTTTTAGGTCTACCTCTACCTTTCTTAACATAAATCAAATATAATAACTCAACTTTTCTAACCGGGTCATCCGAAGGCCTCTGCTTAATGTGACCAAACGATCTAAAGCGAATCTCTCTAATCTTATCTTCTACTGGAGCTACTCCAACCTTTTCACATATATGCTCATTTTGTATCCTATCTCTAAGGGTAAAGCCACTCATCCACCTAAACATCCTTATCTCTGCAACACTTGACTTAGTATTATGCTTCTCTTTTAATGGCTAACATTCGGCACCATAAAGCATTGCAGGTCTCACTACAATCTTATAGAATTTTCCCTTAAGTAAGAGGGGGACTTTTCTATCACACAACAAGCTCGAAGCATTCCTCAAAAACAAGCCTGTGCATATCGATATTTGAGATACTATTAAATGCATATAGATATAAGTAGGTTTGTAATTTAGGTGTATTTCTATATATCAATTTGCTCCAAATTTAAAATAAGATTTAATGAAAATAATTTTGAAATGGGTAGATGTTTGAATGAAAAAATTCATATTTATATTCTTGAAAATTTTGGTTGTTATAGTTTGATCCCTTTTAGGCATGAAAAATGACATACAAATTAACATGCTTGCATGGTAAGTGGTAACGTGATATGGTGATTGTTAGGGGTGAAAGTGAGTCTGTTTGCTTGTGTGTCGGATCAAACTCAACTTTGTTAACGAGATTTTGAGCTGAGCTTAATGGGTTGTAAGCTCGAGCTTAAACTCAAGTTGGTATATTAAACAAGTTCGGGCTTGAATTTGATGAAGCTTGGCTCGCAAATGCACTGATTGACTAGTATGTCCAATTTATTTTGTGTGTTGGTTAATGCGGTAGTTGCTAGGGGTCTCTTCATAACTTGGCTGCTATTTTGTGGCAATAATTATTAGTGTTGCAGACACATAGTTAGAAAACTATCTTTCTTTTAATAGGCCGGCAGGCACTATTGGTTAAATTAACTGATTTTCTATGGGAAATGACTATCATATTTGAAAAACTAAATTAATTAGGGTCTATATTGCTCAAAAAAATAAAATGCAAGTTGCAAATACTTTCACGTAGTGTGAATCATGCCTTCTTCTTCTTTGGTTGATCATGGCGACGTTTTTGTTTTTGTAGAGCCACCATGTTTTGCGTTGCCTTAACCTATCGAGCTGGCTCATGAGCATGCTATTTTGTAATGAGCCGAGCTTGAGCTTTTTGTTCGAGCTCGACTGAAGGTGTAGATTCAATTCGAGATCGTGATTTGGCCAGTAAGCCAAGCTTGAGTTAGGTATGATTTGAGGTTAGCTCGATTCAATTAGATACAGCCCCTGTGACCATCTTAAATAGTTCATGCTTCAAAGCATTTAGAAAATGAAGGTGGATTGGCGGTAGCATTTCACACTACTCCATTAATTATAAACTGAATAGAACTTAGATTTGTAAGTTCAAGATACATGTTCAATGGTAAAAATTTAGTGAGGTGGATGGGGATAAAATGTTCAACAAAAACTGATTAAATTATTATTTAGAATAAGAGTTTTAGTTTTCTCTCTTTATTGCTGGAGTTGTACGACCTTAGAAGAATGACCAGTCAGCAAATTTATGTCATCCTCGAGCATTAGACTCTAAAGGTTTATTATTGCTAGTTAAATATCTAATCCTAAAGTAGACCTTTGTGTATATGTTTGTAGCTGAAGAAAATGTTCGGAAATCTTTGTTTGTCATACCTAATTCTAATCTCAAATACAAGAGTAGCATAAACCAGTACTTTTTGGAAATTGAGATGAAGTTAATCCGCTAGTTGTTTATTAGCTCATTTTATGTCATTGATATACTGATCTGTTATTTGTTCAGCTATCCATATTTGGAATTGTTTCATAGTGTGGTTTTCTTTCATTGAATATCATAATCTTGTCTTCACGTTTGCTTATGTCCTTCCCTCTTTAGTCGCCCCAAGCAAAATGCAGAACCTTCATGTTATGAGGTTTATTAGAGGGAATCCGATGTCCCCGTCTTAGCCCACCTAAAAAATGTGTATATTGAATTTGTTCATTCCCTCACTGTTTGTGCACGAACAGGTCAAAGATGTCAGATGGAAAACAAATCTTGGAGGACAAAATATGGAATTACGTCTAGTGGAACATTTTGCTGATGAGTTTAATAAGCAACTTGGGAATGGGGTTGATGTGAGGAATTCTCCCAAGGCAATGGCTAAATTGAAGAAACAAGTTAAACGCACGAAGGAAATCCTTAGTGCAAACACTATGGCCCCCTTATCAGTTGAATCACTTTATGATGAACGGGACTTCAGGTTAGAAAAATTTGATCTAGCTAAACTTAAAATTTAGAATTTTTGTTTGTTTACTATTATTAAATTTTAGTTATAACATAAATATTAGATTTCTCATGTCATTTTTAATTTGAGGTTACAGGACAACTTCGAGAATATTTTCCTTTGATAATATGAATATTTATGTTATTCTATCATAGTTATTAATATGCGCTTCTATTCTGTTATTTTGCTTTTAGTCCAGGCATTCTCATTTAGCTGTGCCAAGGGGTTCTGATTCAGATAAATCATGGACAGGCTATTACGATGCTTTAGATGATCTTGATGCCATTTGTTAGTTTTCATGCCTTAGATTTTGTTTGCATTACAATGTAATTTGGAGACCTCTTTTCTGTAAATAGAAGAGGGTGGGATGTGATGAAACATTTGATTTTGATGATGAAATGAAATCTTTTTTTCTTCCTTCTCTTCCTCCTGTCCTCAGGCTGCCTAAACCAAGTTATCTACTCTTCCCCTCCTCTCATCCCTAGGGTAGCTCCTCTTCCCCTCTTCTTCAGTCACAGAAGCCCCATGATTTTCCATTGCTTACTATTGATCTCCATAGAAATTTCAACCTATTGAATAATAAACAAGATGTGGTTGAGTGATCGATTGTCATTTGATTGAGTTACAGCAGGCATTAATCTGTGTTAGAGTGAGGGTCCTACAAGGATCGAAGATCTTTTGACTTATAGATACGAAGCCATTTCTGTTTTCCGAGATTTGTTTATTGTTCAAAATCTGCTCATTACTTTATTGTTTGCAACGAAACTGCTGTTGCGACTGTGTAGCTACATATTGTGCTTTCTCGGGTAGCTGAAATCTGCTTTGCAAGCTGCTTAAGTTTCCTTAGCTATTCGCTGCTTAATTCTTCTTTGCAGCTGGTTTACAGCTGGTTGGATGCATTTGTTATCTAGCAAATGCTCCATTAGTGCTCGTTATTAGTGACGTCTTTGCTTTTTTGGTTTTCTTCTATCTTACCTGCTTTATATGCATCAAACTCACTCCCATATGCTTCAATCCTTGATTAATTCAGTTCTCAGAGTAGGGTGATTATATGTTTGATGTAGATTGGGTTATAATGGAAATGTGGAGCAGCTTGAGGGTACAAGTTCGAGATTTAAAATTGCACAATTCAATATTGAGGTGTTTGTTTTTCTGTACAGTGAGGCACATACCTCAAGATGTTTTGGATCGCAAGTCTTAGAATTAATTAAACCTTTAAATTAAGTAAAAGTATGAAATAAAAAATAACATACTAATATCAGAGTAAGATATTAAAATAATATCTTAAAAAGTCAAAGGAAATAAAAGCCATATATGGCTAAAAACAATGCAAAATAAATTGTATTTTTTTCAACATAAATAAGCAGTTTAAGATTATAATTTATGAATTCAAAAGTCTCCTCTACTCTCATCACTTAAAGGGTCTTCATTAGAATCATCTTTATAGTTAATAGCTTTTTCTCCTTCCTCATACTAAAACTAAGGAAATGGGTTTCCAACAATAATTGATGAAGTGTTGGAAGAGAAGTATCGGTGGTGGTTTAGTGATGATGATGACATAGTATTATTGTGTCATGTGAGGGTTGTGCGGTTGCAAGTTTGAAGTCATGAGATTTCTCAAGTTTTGTCTTGTTTCGGTCATGTAATTAAGTTTCATTATGTATATATTTTTTATGAGTCAAAAACTTTAAATCACCTAACTCTAATTTTAAAGATCTATGTGTTTTTCAAAATTATTCTAAAATTTTGTTGACTTGTACCTTGAGGTATGCCTTATCCCATTTGAGGTTTAAGCCTCATCAAGAAAGCATGAGACATGTCTCATTGCCTTTTTTTTAAATTGCGTTGAGGTGTGCCTGAAGGTTTGTCTCAAATTGTGCAGTTTAAACCATAGCTATACTTTGTATGCTAGGCGATGGCATAGATTCTTATCTATGATGCACCGACACAGCGACACGGACACGACACGGACACGGGACACGGCAATTTTTAAAAATATAGGACACGGGTGCGGCATGGACACTGCATAATATTTTTTTAATATAATATATAATAATTTTTAAAAATATAAGACACGGACACGGCGTGGACAGATGGATATATAATATTTTTTTAATATACCGCCAGTAGCAGAGCTCATTTTGCTAACAAACCAATCATACATATGAATACACCAAATTAAATTGATATGAAATGAAATCAAAATATCCCAATAATAAGACAACATGAATACAACAATATACCAGTCTGCCGGGGGTCCAAGGGGGCGCTGCCCCTACGGGGGTTTTATTGTAAGAGTAATTTTGAAGTTTTGCTTGTTTTTAAAAGTTGTAAGCTGTTTGTATGGGAAGATACCGAGCATGTACCTAGCAGTACGAGCATATACTAGCAGTACTGAACATATACCTAGCAATACCGAGCATGTACCTAGAGGTACTAAGCGGTCCCTAGCAGTACCGAGCATGTACCAAGCGGTACGAGCATATATTGAGCAATACCGAGCATGTACTGAGCAATACCGAGCATGTCCCTAGCGGTACCGAGCGGTTCCGAGCATGTACTGAGCAATACCGAGCATGTACTGAGCGGTCCGAGATGTACGTAGCGATACCTCATTTAATAACCGGACAAGCGTGTCCGATTTTAATTTTAATTTTTTTAATTGCGACACTCCAATGCCGTGTCGGACACGTGTCCATGCCGTGTCCGACGCGTGTCCGTGTCCGACACGTGTCCGACACTGCATACCCTCTCTAAGTGTCGTGTCGGTGCATCATAGATGCTTATATTTCCAATCATTCTGTATCCTTTTCTATTGGGTTCTCCCAATTAGAGTGATTATACGGGTGAACCTCAAGAGCATGAGGGTGTTGCAAATCTTGTGTATTCATTCGCATAATAATACTTTTGGCAAAATCAAAATAAGAGTTTGGTCATCAAGTGTGAGGAGCATGCAAATGTTTATTAATTTGCATTATGTTTGTCAAGTATCATGGTATTGTGAGTTGTAGAAGCTAAAATTTCATGCAAGCTATGAAAGGTTCTAAGTGCAAATGCGATTATTTAGCAAGCGAGTGATTAAGTAATTTAGGGACAAAAGATAAGTAGAAAACTAGCAAGAAATATGTTCAATATTTGGTCTCATAACATTAGCAAGAAAAACACAAACAACCATGTTGAATGCTTCTTATTTGAGTATGTCAGTAAGTTAGATCAACTTTGAAATGATCATTACAAATACATACTAATGGATAATAAGTGAAATATAAACTAATGATCACGAGTGAAATAGTTCTGTATTAGAGGATAGTGTGGTGAGTGGACGGGATGATTAAGCAATTGGGTGGTGAATATGATTTGTAACAAAATAGTGTATGCGAGAAAGATAGGAGAATTTAGCCAACAAGATTGTGAGCATCACTTTTCATTAACTTTAAAGGTGACATGCAAATGAATGTGATTCTTAATGGAGGTAGATGAGTGGTTCATTTTAGCCATGATAAGATGGCAAAACTTGAGGACAATAATAAGACTTGGGTTGTAAGTGAATATGAGATTGACATGGTGACAATATTGGTGTGAGGCCTTTGATGATGTTGTTGATTCAGTTGATGAACGCTTATGTGAAAAGATCTATGTCCTTGACCACATTTGGGAGGAAACCAAGTCCCACTTTAATGAAGTATTTTTGGATGCATGTCAAGATGAAAACATTGCCAAATTAGAGCATAGAGCACGAATGATGAAAACTATAAATATTGGCAGAAATTGTTGGGAAAAAAGCATGGATTGAAGCATATATTAGATCTCGAGAATTGAGTAGATCAAATATATGCATTGTGGCATTGAATGATTGAATGTTTTTAAGTCAAATTGACATTTTACATTATTTTAGTTACTAAATTCAAAACTACATACAAGTATATAAATCCGAAAAAAGAATACTTGATAACTTTTGGTGACTAAACTAATAAAAATTTAAGCCAAATTATGGAACATACATTCAATACATTAAATCATAATTTGGACAAAATTTAGTGAAAGAAAACATATAATAATAGCTAATTACTATAATTATACAAAATTGTAACTCAAATGAGACCTCTGTCAAGTATTAGATTCCAATAATGCTATTAATTTGAAAGACCAAAATATAGTACCAATTGACACATATTATAGCTTCACTATGATCTCTTTTAACAACTAGACACCAAGGACCTTCTTAATCTAAATAGGTAAATAGGGAATGAAAACATCATTTCACACTGAAAATAATCGGAGCAAAATCAACTCCATTAAAATAACCTATAGTCATTGTTCTTCAAATTCTTTCAACTTTGCAAGAGTAATTTATGCATATATGATGGGCAAAACCACAATCCACTGAGCCCGCCCTAAAAAAAATACTTTGTAAACAAGGTAATTTTGGAAATTTCCCCCCCTAAGAAACATTGTTTGCCTTTCTCTTTCACGAATGAACCCATAGTGCTGCGTTCGTGCAAACCCTCAACTGCTCCTTCTGCTAGACAACTTCTCTTCTTTTCTCCTCACGCTGCGTTCATGCAAACCCTATGGCTACTCCTAGTACGACAACATAAATAGACAGTGCCGCTGATATCAAGCAGGACGCTACCATCGACTTCGACCTAAAGTATTATTGTCGTTTGAGAGCCATGTAAGTGGAAACCGCGAAATAGTTCATAATCATGTAACAAGATATTTAATCTAGATTGCTTTACGCCTTTACCTCATTAGTCCCTTTATATGTAATACCGAGTTTATCCTAGATGTCCTTTCTATTTTTATAAGTGGAAACCCGCATGTAATCTTCTGACTTAAATGCACAAAAGAAACTATTTAAGCATTTAGCGTTTAATTGTGCTAAGTCATGTTTTTCTACAGTCCAGCCAGCAAAGGGTGTTTCAACTCTAATGGCACAAGTCTAGTTGGCCTAGTATACCCTTCTTGAACTAAAATCCACATACGATAATTAAACGATTGAGGAAATGTAGACTTGCGTGTTTTTCAAAAATCGAATGGAATATTATCAAATAACGGAGGTCAAGTGATCGAATACCCTTCAGGTGTGTTTCGGTTTTCAAAAGTAGTCATTTTCGTTTTCAAAAAGTAGTCTAAACTTATAGTTTTGAAATAAAGGATTGATACCACTTGTTGACTCCGTATAGATTGTTAAACTTAAACTATTGTTCCAAGGCTAATCAAAAGGGGGGTGAATTGATAATTTTTTTTAAAAAAAATTCTCTTGGATTTTAAATAGAAAACCGTTTTAATAACTTTTCGACTTTAATTATCTTTTCAAATGAGCTGTTCAACCACAATAACAAAAATTGTAGAAAAAATAAAAACACGAAAAATAAAATAACACAAAAATTTATAGTGGTTAGGTTGAACACGACCTACATCCACTCCCTGAAGACTCCCTCTTTAGGTATTGCACTATTACCAAAAGTGACTCTACTTTAGCACCCACAGTAAGACGGAGAAGCCTTTACAAATTCCCTCTCTTCCACCTATCCCCGGTGCGGCAGAGTATCGTTGTTCTTTCAGACTCTCCAAGTATCGGCAAAGTACCGTCGTTTGTTCACACCCTCCAAGTGTCGGCATAGTACCGTCGTTTATTCACACCCTCCAAGTGTCTACAGAGTACCGTCATCTACTTCAAAGACCTTCTCTTGAGCAACTAGAAAGAAGAAAAGAAGATTTGTAACCAAATACACAAAGAGATCCTTACCTTTTAGTAACCTTGTGAACCCTTCACACTTCTTTTGCAAGAAATCTCTCTCAAACACTCCCAAATACACTCTTTCAATTGCTCTTGAAAAATCACGAAGAACTTTTTCACGTCAATTTTTAAGAACCTTTTATATGAAAGACACGTAAAATCGTCCAGAAAATTGAAATTTTTAATTTTGAGCATGTACGGCCGCACAGTACGATCGTAAGTTTGTACGTACGAATAGTTCAAAAATTGTTGCGTACAAACCTTTTGTGAATCTGTACAAAATGACTTCGTACACAATGATCGTCCAGTACGAACCAAGTTCTTACTATACGAACAATTAGAAAATTTTTCATCATCGTCAGGACGAAGAGAGACCCCACATTTTCGTACACTGGATGGTGTCTATACGAAGACGACATCGTACAATACGATATGTTCAGAAAATTTTCAAGTTCGTCAGGACAAAAATGGACCCATCCAATTTGTACTCTAAACGACATACGTACGAAGATGACATCGTACAATTCATAAAAACTTTGAATTCGTCGGGACGAAAAGGGACCCGTCCAATTCGTACTCTGGATGACGTACGTACGAAGACGACATCGTACAGTACGATCAGTTCTTAGAAATATTTTCTACCTGCAGTTCATTTGACTGCTAGTAGGGGAAAATAACTCAACAAATCATCCTGTACGAAATGAGATTGTACAGTACGATTAGTTTAAAAAATTTATAATTTTAAACATTCCCCCAGTGTGTGTGCGCACAGTTACTCAATTACAATCATACTCTCTTATACTCAATAAAATGAAAAATACATACTTCATTTACAATGAACCCTAATCATTTATGAAAAAAAAAAAGCCCTAATCATTTATAATGAACCCTAATCAGTTAGTCTTCAACAATCGGAGTATGATTTTCCTGAAATGTTAGTATACACAAATAACAAAATAATGCATCCAAACTATGTTAGGAGAAATTGTAATTAAAATAATAATATTTGGAATCATCAAAAACATACATGTTGCAAGAATATCAACAATTGAAAACTAAGTTTTAACTTTCTCAACATAAGTGACTCAACTTTTTAGACAATATACATTGTGAATCAATGGTCTCTAGTTATTCTTAGTCGAAGCCAATGGATCGAAGACAATATACATGTTGGTTCCATGTGGGAACTCATTGACCTTGGCATGTGAAGGAATCTGTTGATCCTTTCTCTATAGTGAGTATTAGTACTAAAAATACCAAATGTGTTGGCTGATAAAATGAATCATGTAGAGTATAAATTTAATTGGTGGGCTCACGTGGGTAGCTCCCGTCTCCTGTAGCCGCCTTGTGTTAGTTCATAAAGTGTCTCGCAAAGTCATGACAAGGAAAAGTCTGAACGCTTTCCGCAAAGATGCTGTTAGTTAGTTCACTTTGACATATCCTATGAATTTAATTTTTTTTCTTAAAATGATAAATTTATAACAAAATGCTTAAAACGGTATCATGTTGACTATGAATTTCAAATCTCTTCAATGAAACATGTATGCTTTTTTCTCAAGTGAAGGGATGACAAAATGCCTGAATATTATATTTGGTACTTGTAACAAACCTAATATTCATAAGATAATGATTTTTAGGAAGGAATAGTCATTTTCATAAAAATGTTTGAAGTACAAACTCATATCCTTTGAATGTGTTATGTTCAAGTGCATGAAACAAACCCATTTATCCCATTAAATCCTGGAATACTGATCCGAATAGTTCAAGATGTTGCCATCTATTATACCTTTACTCCTTGTTGATCACATAATATCGTTTTAAGCATGTCTTCACCATAAGTATTTAATAAATGGTTGAACTGGCAAGGGTTTTAATATGTTCAGTCACACTCTGATACCAATCTTATTTTTAAACATCTAATTACACTTAAAGGAAATAGAACAGGCACAAAATAAATAACTCACTAATTTAAATGATAAACTATTAAATAGAAACATTATGCTATATGAAGAATTTTCCACCACAAACATAATCTCAGAAAGTATTTTTTTCAAGTTTAAGCTTCAACCCTTTTGCAAGTTGATTATATCTTTTATTATTGGTAAATTCCGTTAGATAAAAAAGATTAAATGCCAATTCAATCATATTAGGCTTCTTTCAAGCCCTAAATATAAGGATGAAATATTTTGTTGGGAAAGATAAATAAAGATAATCTTCCTTGCCATCGTCGGGTTGGTGCCCATTTGATGACTGGAGGGGAGGAAGAGGAGGAAGAATTGTCTGGCATGGAGATACCTCATCAATAGAGCATCTCTATAATCTCTTAGGTGACCATTACACTGATGATGGCGTGCTTCTTGGATGTTCTTGACCTCTTTTGCACATCTCTTAATCCCAATGGCTCTCAGTCCCTCTTGCTTCCCCTATATCTCCTTCTCTTTTCTCTATCATGCATGTGTGGCAGATAGTTCATCGCTGCCCCTGCTCCCAGCTGAGCCCCCATGAAAGTCCTAGAGGCAGCCAGCTCTCTGCCGCTCCCCTCCCCCCTGCCCAAAAAAAAAAAAAAAACATGACAGTTCATTTTTTTTTCTTTTTCTCTTTAATTGATTACGAATTACATGGGCTTTCTACATACTTCTGTCTTTTACTCTTTAATTCATCATGTATTACATGGTCTTCTTAGAAATATCTGTCTATAGATGCAACTCTAGCGAATTTGGTCAGATTGAGATGGAGCCCAAAACTGATTTTCTGTTATCTTTCTTTTTGCAAGAAACATAAGATGTTTCTACATAGTTTTCTGTATTTACTTGCACAGTATTACTTGTCTTTTGGCTGTGCAATTTTGATCGCTATATAAATCTTTAGGGAAAGTATGTGGTTAAACATGTTTGAAGTTCTTACAACTTGGTATTGACAGGTTAGTTCAGCCAACTCGAGGTTGCAAATATATTTGAATTTGACTTGAATTTTAATTCAACTGATTTTCAATGGAGAAAAAGGATTCTTTTAGCCGACCCCACATTGTGGGATAATAGGATAAGGCTTGATGTTGTTGTTGTTGCTATTTTTCTTACATACCATCCTTATTTTTAACCATCATTGTCTGATGAATGTGCTCTATCATTTTTCTCTCACAGAAGCACTATAAGTCGTGAGAAATTTGAAGAACTTTGCGAGGATTTATGGGAGCAATCCCTAGCACCTGTTAAAGAAGTTCTGAAGCACTCTGATTTGAAGGTCAATGACATTTATGCTGTAGAGCTTATAGGTGGAGCCACTCGGGTGCCAAAATTACAGGCAAGTCTTTTTACTTTTAGATGTCAGCATGATTACATATCACTGAAACATTGCTCCTAGCTAAAACTATGATTAGATGTTTAAACACTATCTATCTACATTTATATGAATTCATCTGGGTATAGCATTTGCAATAGAAACGAAAACTCATGTATTCTATTACTTATAGCAATTCATGTTACAAACATGGAAGCAATTGTTTAGTTCTTGGTCTTTTGAAAATTAGCTGCAATATGTTCGTATGCTATTAAAATCTTGCATTGAAACATGTTTGAAGGGCGAAGTGGTGTGATGTGAAGGATTCTTGTATCACAAGTTTCTCATGTGCACAGAGAAGGCAGAGCATGTGTTGCGGACTGTTTAAATTTAGGCACACTAGTAGAAGTGCTCTCAATGCATCTTTTTGTTCGATGGGAAACACCTAACTTTTGCCTGGGGTAAAGTCAGACGACTTTGGACTCACAATTTAGCCTGGAAAGGACTACCAACTAACCCATCTAAACATTTTTAAAATCATCCTTCAATTTGGAGTATATTTGTTTGATAATGTCTCAAACTTGTTTTGCCCGAGAGAGTAACTTTTATGAACCATTGATTTTAGTTATCATTGTATTCTACAATTATGTCATAGTCAAGAAATGTGCTTCATCTTTCTCAAAATACAAATTCTAAATTTTTCGCAGCTTTCAAGTATGATTCATGAGATGATAGATTTTTCCCATTCCTTCCAAAGGTTCTTCAAAATTTGTGGCCATTTTAGATAATTTCGCCAATTTGGACGATATGAGGCTTGTAGCTTATGAATTTCTCCTTTAATATGATTTTTACCATTCTTGCTGGTCAACTTCTTGGAAGGAAATTCAAAGAAATCAAGTATAATAAAGAGAGTGAAGAATCTGGACAAGAAGAGAGAAAAAAAAATGAATAAATATTGGAATTTGGAAATCCTAACCTCACTCTGATATTATATAGAAAAATAAAAGAAATAAAAAAAAATTGATTTTTTTGCTAGATTCTATATAAATGTGGTAGTATTTATATAATTATATCCAGTGGGCTTACAATAAAAATAAATCAAAGTTATTTAAGAAAATGAAAAAAGTTCCTAAGAGAGGCCAACAGCTAGAAAAGAAAGAGGATGCACGGAATGGAAGCCCAAAGAAGATGATCCAATGGTTGGAATACTTAATCTATGTGCTTAAGGATCTTTATCAAGATTGGTTGACTTGTGGGTCCCATTATCCTTCAACATAAACATTTGATGGAAATTTATCACCTAAAAAATTGAAAGCTAAAGGAAGGCTTGCTGCTCATTCTATATTTTATGCAGGCCAAACTCCAGGAGTTTCTTGGAAGGAAAGATCTGGACAAGCACCTTGATGCTGATGAAGCAATAGCTCTGGGTTCATCATTGCTTGCTGCTAATTTGAGTGACGGAATAAAGTTGAATCGCAAGCTGGGAATGATTGATGGTTCATCTTATGGATTCATGGTTGAATTAATCGGTTCTGATCTTGTGAAAGATGAAAGCACGCAATTTTTACTCGTACCAAGGATGAAGAAAATGCCGATCAAGGTAAGGCTACTGTCCTTAGTCCATTCTTACATATGCTGGATGCAAAATAACATTGTTACTTCATGGACTTCTTGATATGCAGCTGTTCAGGTCTATCAAACATAACAAAGATTTTGTTGTCTCACTCAGTTATGAAAGTGCTTATGAATTACCACCAGGTGTATTTTCTGTCCAATTTGTGCAGTTTTCAGTTTCTGGACTTACAGAAGCCACTGAGAGGTACACTAAAGAAATTTTAGTGTGATTTTATAATGTTTGCTTTGATGTATTATCCCAGTGGTCATGCCATTAATATTCAATCTTAATGAAGTGATATACCTTGCTTTCTTTAAGGTACTCAGCTCGTAACCTGTCCTCTCCTATCAAAGCAACCATGCATTTCTCTCTCAGCCGGAGTGGTTTGGTTTCTCTTGACCGAGCCGAAGCAGTTATTGAGCTATCTGAATGGGTTGAAGTACCTAAGAGTATCAACACTGCAGAAACTAATGCTTCAAATGCTCTGAATGCTACTGAAACTCTGAATTTATCCACTGAAGGAAGCCCTATGGACATCCAAGACAGCAAGAAGGAAATTCCGAATACTGAAAATGAAACAAACTCCTCTGATGTCAGTGCAGAAGTCAATGACAATGTGGGAGCTGAAACTGAGAAGGTCTTGAAGAAAAGAACATTTAAGGTTCCGTTGAAGGTGAGATAAATAATCATTTAAATACCCCAGCATTAATCTAGTCTCACCAGCTTCTGATATAGAAAGCTAACTGTTATGATTACTTGCTCTTTCTCGAGAAAAAGTATTTTTGGTCTTCTTTACTGATTTGTTGTATTTCATTTACTGTAGATAGTGGAGAAACAAATTGGCCCTGGTGTTCTCTCGAAGGAGATGTTGTTTGAAGTAAAAACTAGGTTGGAGGAACTTGATAAAAAGGATTTGGAAAGACGAAGGACAGCAGAACTCAAAAATAGTCTGGAGGAATATATTTATTCTACAAGAGAGAAGGTTAATAATCATTACTGGATACCCTGTAATGCATGATTTCCTCTATGTTGAGTTTTTTTAAGCATAAACGTGTAATTTCAAGATAAGTTTTCATTTTTATATTCATCCTTAATCTGTTATTTTAATTTAACTTTGCCATATGGAACGCATTGGCTTAGCTTTGAATGGTATGAGTACTGTGGTAATGCCTTGTCTATATGAGTATGAGCTCTGAATTTCTTCTTCTTTTTTTAAATTAAAAACCGCATTCTATAAGTCAAATAATTATATGCTTGAACTGTTTTCGCAGCTTGATGACAATGAGGAGATTAAGAAAATTTCAAGCCAGGAGGAGTTACGCTCTTTTGTTGAGAAACTTAGTGAGGTGCTTCCCAACGCTACCTAACTAAGCAAATTCCTCAGAAACTATCTACTTCCTAACTTAGTCACTTTCTATTTCTAGGTTCAAGATTGGTTGTACACTGATGGGGAGGATGCTTCAGCTAATGAATTTGAAGAGCGGTTAGACTCATTGAAAGCTATTGGGGATCCAATATTTTTCAGGTAGGTAGCATTTACTTAGAATTGCCGTCTATTTTTGATATTAATGGAAATTATATTATTCCCTTGTTCATCTCTTTAGATTAAGCGAGTTAACTGCTCGTCCAGCTGCTTATGAAAGTGCTCGAGTTTATCTTGGTGATATTCAAAAGGTATTTCATTTCATCTTTCACCATGCACTATTGTTGGTTGTTTTGCTTTAAGCTTAGTTTGATTTTACTGCCGCCTAGATATCTAGATTTCTGGCCCTTTATTTTACAGCGTGAATAATTTCTGATTATATATATATATATATATATATCATTTTGTCTAGAAAGTTGTGATATTAGCCCATGGTTAGGTGCTATGGGGCTGTTTTGTCAACTGAAATTTTGATAGTAGTAGAATGCTTATATGGAAACTAAAAACTATCATTGTTTGCCCTATTGCATGATGGAATGATTGATAGTTGATGTTAAGTTAACAACCAATCATAAAATTTATGTTTAAGTTTATGAAATGAATTCAAATTTGAATTTTTTTTAGTGCTAGAGTACTAGACATTCCTCAAGTAGCTAATTTCATCCCAACTCAATTGTTGTAAGAAGTAGAAAGGGTTTGTTAGAACATCATTCATAATCACAAAATAACTTATTTGCCGAAAATTAGGGAAGAGTTAGTGAAGCAATCCAAGCTTAAGGTTCGAATTGGTGTACAAGGTTGGATCTAAAACGCCCAAATATGACCGGATTGCTGGCAGCTCCGTGTACTCAATACGTCATAAGAAAGGTCATAGTAGCGGAATCCCCACTTTGTCAACCCGTTAGTATGGACTGTAGGAAGTACAAAAGCCAATTTGACTTGGTAAGTTCAAGTAAGTGTAGTTCATTAAATTCTCCTAATTGACCGAAGAATTAAAGTTCCAGTGGGAAGGAGTCACGAATAATTACCGAATGTACGTAGACTCTAAATCTTCAACCACAAAGGATGACTCAAATTCTACCAACTTCAATAGATTCAGCATTGTGAAGCATATTTCCCATAGCTCAAGTCTGAAGCCTGAATGGGTGTATGAGGTTGGATCCAACAAGTCCAAATACGACCGTATAGCTGGCAGCATTCTGAAGCCATCTTCAAGGATGAAAGAATCATGATGCGTATAACAAGTCACATATTAACACTAATGATATGTTAGATATAGTGGCATTCCAATCGATGTGCCTACAATCAAAAGTATGAAGCTTTCAATAAATGTTGTGAAACTTCATGCCAATCAAGATGCAAATATCAATGAATATTAAAAATTAATACACAAGCAAATGTGTCGATCAATGTGTATAAGGGGAATGACATAGCTGTCAATGGCGCAAAATAGCGCGCGCCATGGCGCACAGCATGACGCACCTACGACGTCATGTTCATGGCGAGGCGCATGTGTTTAAAATAGCGCGCGCTATTTGCGCCACATGTGAGCCATGGCGCATTGCGGACGGGGCAAAATAGTGCGCCAAATTGTTTTTAAATTTCGGTATACATATGAATATTTTTTATATTTAAAAGTATATCTATATTTTAAGATAAACGACTATTCATTGCCCTAATTTCATGAAAAAATTTTTGTTTGCTGCATCCGCCGAACGCATTCCGCCGAACGCATTCCGCAGTCCTTAAGTCGAGGTCACTGAATCTATCCTGAAGTCGAAGGTTTTCTGTTTTCTGTTTGCTGCATTCGCTGCTTCCGCCGAATCCAGCCGAATCTGTCCCGAAGTTGAAGTCGGTGTTTCCGCCGAATCATCCCGCAGAGTAGTGCTTCTGCTAAATCCGCGCCCTCCTTCGTCTGTTCCAATAAAAATCTTACCAGCTGACTCCGATTTGCAACCTCCGTCTATTCCGCACAGCTCTGTTATTTTGTACGGCTATTTCTTACAAGAATTTACAACTTAACAGGTAAGCTCGGTACCGCTAGGTATATGCTCGGTACCGCTAAGTAAATGCTTGGTACCGTTATGTAAATGCTCGGTACATGCGCGGTACCGCTAGTTACATGCTCTGTACCGCTCGGTACAGCTCAGTACAACTAGGTACACGCTTGGTACCGTTATGTAAATGCTCGGTACCGCTCGATACAGCTCGGTACAACTAGGATACTCCTCGGTACCGCTATGTAAATGCTCGGTACATGCTCGGTACCGCTAGTTACATGCTCTGTACCGCTTAGTACAGCTCGGTACTAGGTACAGCTCGGTACAACTAGGTACACGCTCGGTATCGCTAAGTACATGCATGATTCCGCTTGGTACCACTATGTAAATGCTCGGTACATGCTCGGTACCGCTAGTTACATGCTCTGTACCGCTCGGTATAGCTCGGTACTAGGTACAGCTCGGTACAACTAGGTACACGCTTGGTATCGCTAAGTACATGCATGATACCACTCGGTACTGCTATGTAAATGCTCGGTACATGCTCGGTACCGCTAGTTACATGCTCTGTACCGCTCTACAGCTCGGTACCGCTCCCCTGGCAGGTCGAACCCCGCCCCGGCAGCCCTTGGATAATATTATGCTTCTTTTATCTAAATTTGTTTGCTTTTAGGTGATCATAAATGTAATATTTGAATTATGAGATATTTTGATGTTACTTAGTCGAACTTATATATTATGGTTGTCTTTTATTATTATGATAGCTTGTCTTTCATTTTTAATAATATTTCATATTCATGTTTATTATTTTATAATTTTTATATAGCTTGCGCCATGTTCAAAATAGCGCGCGCCGCGCCGGCGCTATGCGCCATGGCTCCAAAGGGACCTTTGCGCCATGGTGCACCATTCTTCATTAACAGGTATGGGAAATGATGACAAATACAACTCCCTACAGTTGAGATCAACATACAAACAGATGAGCATAGTGAACTTGCCTACAATTGATGATACTCCCCGTGTATTCAAATAGATAAGTGTTAAAGTATTCATACAATCCGCTACAACACAAGGGGGAAGCAAATACATCTACCACCTATAAGTAGTGACAACTCGTCAAAGTGAATGTAGCAATACCCTGCAGTTCATATGCAAGCAAGAACTGTGAATCAACTACAAACATGAGTACCTAAGAGCTGTTATAGCAAGGATATCGTAGCATCTCTACAACCAACAATCATCCAATGGAAGACAAATGCACTTAAATGGTATGCAATTAAGGTTGTGATAACCTTACGGTTGAAGTCGAATCACTTGTAGATGAATACAACTATTCCCTGTGAGCTACAATGACTAATGAAGTTACTTATGGATAACAACAGCGGATATGAAGTAACTACGATAAATCCTCTGTGGACACAAGTTCGTATGTTCTTTATAAGAAAATATATAAAGCTACAAAACATCCAAATACTTATGAACCATCCTAGGAAGCCTCTCGTGTATGCAAAGTGCCATTTACGAGCAAATATAGAGGACCTCTAATTGCTGTTAACATCCACAGGCAAAAGCCAGAGATTCATTAGTGTACTACAATCCACCTGTAGAAAGCAACAAGTAGTGCATGACAGTCTACTTGTACAAATCATCATACAACTCAATCTACAAGCTACAAGGCCATACCACCAGATTTGTAACATTTCTGCTTGAAGACAAAAGGTGTTTACAAATATTTCAAATAACCCTCGCACATGCACTATAGTTTGTATACACATAGGTACACATAAGGGCATGTGCAATCACACGACCCGTATGGGTCCGGCGAGAGTGTTGTATGAACACACGTGACGTCTAGATATATTACACGGGTTAATAAATTTGAACCCGATCCTCCTAAGCAAGTAAATAGGAGTCCACAAGGTTCAACAAATAATTATAAAATGCCCCCAAACACCTGCATGGGCTCCAACGAGCGTGTTACTGGTACACACATGACGTCTAGGGATATTGCACGAGTTTATAAATGAACATAATTCGAGCCCGATCCTTCTATACGGATAAATAGAAGCTGACACGGCTCAAATCATCAAACATATATATGGTCAGGGTGTCGACCGGAAGATCTGTTTTATATGTTCATATAAGACCTTCAAGGCCTCCAACAAGAAAATTCATTAACAAAACTATAAAGCCTAGGGACCCGATCCTATGCCAAATAGTAGACAGAGTCGACAAGATCTAATCAATGAAATTCTCAAATAATCCCACACACCCCGATGATGGCTGCGTTGAATACAGAACTCAACCGGAGGGGTTAACTTCAATTATTTAAAAATGCCTTCCAGAGGCTGTAAAATTCAAAAATCCAAAAGTTTTCAAAGCTCAAATGTTCAAAACTTCACAAAAATATCAAAATCCAGATATTTAAAGTTGAAACTCAACCGTTAACCACTTAAAGTAAAATCAATCCATCCATCGCAATAGTTTGCCAAGGTGGATAAATTGAAATTTACTTCAGCTCACATAGAGCTAATGCATAGTTGAAGATATCACTAGGATTCTTTATCAAATAATCTCCTGTCAATAATGACGTGGTACGTGTTCTCTAACCGGCAGTTTCGCCGTGAAATGACAGTGCAGGTAAGCGGTTATGACCCGGGAACCTTTGAACCGAGCTGTTTTGCTACTAAATGGCATCACAAGATAACAGTTATGACCAGAATCAATACGTTCCTTAGTGGCATCAAATCCTTGAGATATGAATCAATAGGATATAATCGATAGGGCACAAAGCTCTCTGTTAGCTCAGGTGGATTCATATATATCCCCTTAGACAAATACTCCCCCTAGGTCTATAAGGTACCTTTAGACGAAGCAACCCATGGCTTCCAATAATGATCCTTCTGTCAGGTTGGGCGACTACCCACTTTGACTAAGTAGACTAGGGACCACGATGACCCGGGACGACAGAACCATGGAATCTTGATCGGCTCCATCATCACTCCCCGCACCATCCGCTTTAAGTGTAAGATGGTGAAATTTTAAATTTTAAATATCCACTCTTCAAACACCCTTCAAATTTCAAATGCCCGTGTTGCTACTATATGTCAGATAGTACGTATTCTCTATGTATCTGATTGACGACTAGTCTTAATCGAAAGTTCTCTCTCATTATGGTGAGGGGTAATTAACTATAGGGGCTTGCGCCTGAAGGAAACCAGAACTCATATGATAAGTCCTTGCAAATTGAG